GCTGCACCCCAAATAGTGTGTTCAGGTTTGGGCCCCTCACTACAAGGAAGACATTGAGGTGCTGGAGCGTGTCCAAAGGACAATAAGCTGATGAAGGGTTTGGAGCACAAGTCTTATGAGCAGCGGCTGAAGAAACTGGGATTGTTTAGCCTAGAGAAGAGGAGGCTGAGAGGAGACCTTATCTCCTTCTACAACTACCTCAAAGGAAGTTTTAGCAAGGTGTGTGTCAGTCTCTTCTCCCAAGTAGCAAGTGATAGGACAAGAGGAAATGGCCTCAAGTTGCTCCAGAGAGGTTTAGATTGGATATTAGGAAAAATTTCTTCACTGGAAGGGTTGTAAGACATTGGAACAGGCTGGCCCGGGGAGGGGGTGGGTTCCCACCCCCCGGGGGTATGTAGATGTGGTGCTTAGGGACATGGTTTAGTGGTGGATGTGGCAGTGTTAGGTTAATGGTTGGACACAATGATCTTAAAGGTCTTTTACAACCTAAATGATTCTATGATTCTAAGAATTTGAAGTATTGTAATATCAAAGTGGATAACAGAGAGGGAATCCTCTCACCTCTTTTAGCTATAGCAAATGCCAAATATTACAACTTTTGCTGATTTTCCCTCTGGCTGCCATCAGTGTTGTGTAAGACGCTGTCAGGTAGGAGCCACATTACCTGGGAGATCCTGAGCCACAGTGAAAGCACAGTGGCCTCCCTCATAGCCGCCTTGTCAGGGAAGAGTGTGCAAGTCGGAAATGGATTTGAGTCCTGTAGGATCACAAAGTCTTCTGAGAAAGGGAAATGCTTGGGTAGGTGTTTATGTAGTTATGCTGCTATTGCAGATTCCTACTTCTGGAGTGTGAACTTATGTTCACATTTGGAAGGACTTGATGGATCACTAGAACTTCTGCACAATGTGACGTGTGGAGACTGAAAAATTTCAGGGTGCTGTTGTGTGACAGAATTTGGTTTCTTTCCACTCTGAGTTAGTTTTTGAGACAGTTGCTCTGTGGAAACTAAGCATGGGTGTTCAGCTGGGCTTCGCCAGAAAAGATACTCTATTGCCCACTGTTTGTGGCCACCTGTGGCCTATACCTACTATAGTATCTACCAATTACTCAATACGTATATAGCTAGCTTTTATATTGTTGTTTTGTCCTCCCTGCCCAGGGCCTTCAAGATCCCAGATGTACATCACCAAAGAGGTAATACCCTTGAAAATTAAATACTGGTATCAGAAGAAAGGACATGTTGTGATCCCTGTTGTCAATTCATCCAAACCCCAGAAGCTTGTCTGCTGTTGACTTGAGGAAGCAGGCCATTGGCCTTTAATGAAATAGCTGTGATGTGGTACAGTGGTGTGACCAGACACCAGGTTCTCCTCTTTGAGAGTTAACAGTGAAGAAACCAGCTCTGAACCTACAAAGAATCATAGAATCATAGAATGTTTTGGGTTGGAAGGGACCCCTAGAGGTCATCTAGTCCAACCCCCCTGCAGGAGCAGGGACACTGCTAACTAGATCAGGTTGCTCAGAGCCCCATCCAACCTGGCCTTGAATGTTTCCAGGGATGGGGCCTCCACTACCTCTCTGGGCAACCTGTTCCAGTGTTTCACCACCCTCATTGTAAAGAATTTCTTCCTTATATCTAGTCTAAACCCACCCTGGTTTAGTTTAAAACCATTACCCCTTGTCTTGTCACTGCTGGCCCTACTAAAAGCCAAATGCAAAACTTTATGTTAAAAAACAGTGCAGGTGCTCCTCAGAGAGAGCCTGCATACTTATCTCAGAGCCCAGGAGTCTCACACAAGAAGACCTTGTTTATAAGAATTTTGTGGTTAAGCCTCATGAATTGCCAGGTGCCACCTGGATTTGAGTTTTGTATTG